TTTCACGATAATTTGGTTCTCTATAAAACCTGGTTTATAATTGGAAAGAGGTACAATTTCTTTATTGCCTACGAAACACGGCTTGAAACGCAATATGGCTGATCAGTGACCGCGACGCGGTAGCCTATGCTTTCCCACCTGAATATGACACCGACCCTGTTATTGTTTTTCAAAGGTCCTAAAACAATATCTAATAAGTTACAAAAAACGAGTTCTATAGTTTGCAAAATAGAACTTAAAATTGCCTAAACATTCGTCGTCGGAACCCTCAGTCTGACGGTTCAGCTGAGCACGGTTGACCCATTAAAACGATCGATTGTTTCCTTATTGTGCTGGTTGGAACCGAAGGTTTTATTATTAATATTCTTAAATGCTATACTTTAAAAAGGACATTCTCGCGGTTGCATTTTTTAAATCTATAGATTTCTAACGCAAATTCTTAACACAACGAAATCATTTATTAGATATTAAGGAAATCTAAGTTGTGTTAATGTTTTAATCACGACGATTTAATTTAATAGATATTACAATACAATACAATACAATACCCTTTATTGTACACTAAGAGTATAAATATACTAAATTAACATAACAAGAAACAAACATAGATAAAAACAAAAGGCGGTCTTATTGCTATGCAGCAATTTCTTCCAGACAACATAAATAAGAAATAAAAATACGTGAAAAGTTAATTAATGGGTAGAGTGCACTATAAATAATATTATAATCTAAAATATAAAATTAAATTAATAAACATGCCGGAATTTACTTAATTTATAGACTAGTGGTCATAAAATGACAGAAAGAAATGAAAGGAGGGAGAATTTAGAAGGAAAGATAATGTTTCTTAACTTGGTTTTTTAAAGGAGTCTATTGTTTGAACACGTTTTAGAGTTAATGGTAAGGGATTCCAAAGCTTCACTCCAAAAACTGAGAAAGATTTAATGTAAAAAGTAGAAGAGTGCAAGGGACAAGGAAGGGAAAGGTTTTCTGAGGACCGAAGGGAAAGTTTATGAGAGGAGCTGAGAAATTGAAAACGTTCTTTAAGGTAGAGAGGACTTGATATATTAAATAAAACGCAGTAAAGAGCAGAAAGGATATAAGTGTTCCGCCGAAGACGGATTGGAAGCCACTTGAGCTTAGCGCGGTATTCATATATTCATTCATGGTCATATTTACGAAGTCCAAATATGAACCGTATACATAGGAGTCTGCTCAAGTTTGTTAAGTTGCTCTTCGATAATCTCTAGATAACTTATGTCAGCATAATCGAAGTTGAGATTGGAATAATCGGTAATGATTGGGCAAGCATAATTTTGGTGGAGATCGGTAAGAAGTAGTTCATTCTTCGGAGTGAATCATAAGCTACAAACATTTTCCGAGACACTGCGTTGATTTGAGGAGACCAAGAAAGGCTAGAATCTATCAAGATTCCCAAGTTTTTTACTATGTCCTCATAAGAGATTTGAACACCGTTAAATATTATGGGATTTAATTGAGTTTTACTTAATTTGGAGATTATTCTTGAACCACCAATAATAATAGCTTGGATTTGAATTATAGTTTATATCGCGCTGTGTTAGTGTTGTAATCACCATTAAATAATGTATTAAATAACTATTGTAATCGATTCACAGCCTTCAATTATATAAATAATTAATTAAAAATATCTAAATTATTTTCAATATATTTCAACCGTCAGAAAAAAGTTATCCATCAAATAAGTTATAATTATAAGTTATAGTTATAACATAATTGAAATATAATACTTAAGTTATAGCTGTTTTTTTTTGTATTTTGCCCTTTGATAACCTCTTATCTGATGATTGAAAAATCAGCCTTTAGAATTAGAGCTTATGATGTATTCAAAGCTCTAAGTACTTATGATTAAAATATCAGATAGCAAAAACTAAGGCTACTGCTTATAACAAACAAAAACTAAATAGTTTTAGTCTTAATAAAAAGTGAAACAAGCTTAAGTCTAGTTCTATTTTCAACGTTCAAAGAATAAATATTCAATAGCAATTGCGAGGCTTTCGGAGTTTAAGATAGCTTGATCAATATCCACGTAATGAGGTAGTTATACAGGGAGTACTGGCGCCATTAAAAGCCAAGCAATGAAATAGCTTAAGAAAATTTATTTAAAAAATTCAAGAAGTTATTAAAAATTAACCGACACCGACCTCACAGTACTTTTATAACGTGTTACACTCATCTGTTACATTATGAAGAGACGCTTCTTATTTTATAACCTTTATCAGCAATTTAATATAATAACGGTGAACATATAAATGGCTTCAAGGACCTGGTCGTACTTATGATTTATTGTAAAATAAGATAATTCTTTATTTAAATGCGATAAAGTCCCTCAAATAATTTTTATTCAATATTTAACATATAACTACGAGAAATATACGGCGTTGTAAGATAATTAATATGACTCGCTAAATTTATAAAAGAACATATAAAATATTTTATTTCGTTTTAATAATATAATAATTAATATCAATGGAAACAATATCCTGAGGAGCATTAAGACAGACAATGAATTTTTCAAATAATTACTCATATCATAAACGCGAATGCTATACATTGAATATCGGCACCCCTGGTCTTAGGTTATGAGTTCGCCATGGATAAGGCTATTGTAAATAACTCGAAACGTTGTCAATTTGAAATGAGTCAATATGAAGGTAGTAGTCAGTATTATAAGTTTTGTTTAATGAAGCTTTTATATAGAATTTATTTGCTACAATATACTTACGAATAAATATATGTATTATCCCGTGGGTGTAGGACTATCCACTACCGTTTATCGTCATGTAGGTGTCGTGAGAGCCGACAGAGGAGGAACAACCAGGAGATGGGCAGCAGCGTCTACCTAATAAAAATTTAAAAGTATAAAAAATGCGGTTGCGGGCGTGGCAACCGTAGCAAATCCCCCCTCCCCCCGAGAAAATCTATAGGGGGAGGCCTTATTCAGCTATATTTATATATATATATATATATATATATATATATATATATATATCATATATAATATATATATATATATATATATGAGATAGATATATATATATTTCGGGATCTCGGAAACGGCTCCAGTTTTTAAATTTAGTGTGGGGTTGGGGATAAAAAATCGATCTAGCTAGGATTTATTTATAAAAAATGTCTTTTTGTCCGTGTTTTTAGACAATGTTAAACTACTACAATATCGTTAGAATAAGAAGGTAAATTTTGACAGATTGTTAATGATTATATATAGCTTAATTGGTATAATGGGCGGTCACAGAATGGTAAAACCCCGGTTCGTACCCAGACTGACCGGACCGACTTTTTTTAATTTTTTTTTTCAAGTTCCTTTCTTTTTTTTAAGAAAATCTTTTTTTTCGAGCCCTTTTTTAGTATTTTTTAAAAACACGAAAATTTAAATTAAAATAATTGCACTCATCATTTTTTATTCAAATAACCAGTTCCGTTTTTTCTGTTATGAGGCTAAGATCAAAAAATATTATTTATATTTCATCAGTATGTAATGTAAATATAATTTCCAAAAAAATGTATCTAAATATAATTTCCAAAACACACAAATTAAAAAAATCGAGCGAATAATACCGAGCAAAGCTCGGTCAACCAGGTACTATATATATAACTCACTAATGACTCATCGATTCACAGCCTTCAATTATATTATCGTACATAATCAAATAATCAGTTACCGTCACATTACTTTGTATATATTATAAATAATCGAGTAAATTTTGATAAGGCTGTGTCGAGTTATATAACAGCTTAAAGAAATTATCTAAGATTTTTTAACGTAATTATTTTTAGAACGATTCTAATTGTATAATACAGTGCAACCTCGAATAGGAAGGGAACAAGTAAATATTCGTTACATCAAGTAATTGGTTGAACAGAGGTTTGTTATGTTGAGGTTAGGTTAGTCGAAATTTTGTTATAAAAGAGGTAAAAAAATCGCGACATGAATCACATACATTACATTGGTGGGAACTTTATATAAAGGTTTTGGATTGACAAAATTCGTTAATTAGAGGTATTTCTACTTTTCTTGATAGTTGAAAGTTCGTTATAAAGAGGTTGTTCGCAATGTAAAGGTATATTTTACATTGACTCTTATGGACACTTCAAGGGGATTACGAAAAATTTATTAAATCGAGGAAGTCGTTATATTGAGGTACGTTATGTTAAGGTTGCACCGTATTACTACATAGTCTTATGTGTAAGTAAGTCAAAGTTACAAGTCCACTAAATATAGATCTCCTATTGCTATATGCTATATGCTGCGTACAAAGCACGATCCTGCATCATTCTTAGCTCTCTACTAAGACTTCTTCTTCACCTGATCTATTGCCGATAATTTTTAAAATATTATCATTAGATTATTAAAATTCTTTTTATTATTGTTGCGGGACCAGTTTATTATTATTATTATAATTTTTTTAAATGTTAACCCCACACTAGGACTTTCTCCTGTATCGTGGAGGCAGTTTACGTACATATATTGCACAAGGACAAACATCCAGACCCGGAACATTTACTTGTTGACCATACAAATACTTGTTCCGCGCGGGATTCGAACCCGCGGCCCTCAACGCTACGGTACTGCGCCATGGAGCCGTCAATTATCTATTTAGTTAAATATAACTAAATAATGATGTAATAAATCATTATTCAGTTATATTACGTTAAAGACTCGAATAAGTATGATGTTTAAGAGTACATATTGATTTATAATTTCCGGAAATCGAAGCTTCTTTTAAATGTGTCAAATATTTTTCATAAAATATAAGCAGAAAAGGAACGTCGAGGCATTTAACTTACGACAAAACATTGTAGAACAGTTGACAAACTTTTTTGTATGAAATTTAACTGATGTCATACTAAACAGTGCAAAGGCGTTTGTTTGACGCTTTATGTGGTAATTTTTAAATAAAACAAGTTTATGTTTAATTTTATCATCGCTTACTTTGTTATAGGTGGTGATCTGCGGTGCGGTGCCATCGATGGTCCGGTCGGTACGTCTCTACAGCCAGTGCTCGCATATGTACGTCAACGTGTTCCGCAACGGCACCGTCATGGCCCGCTCCGATGGAAACGACCATCGTAAGTGCTATAAACGTCCTCACTTACTGAATTTATTTGCGGTCGCGTCCTTGCTTTAGTTTTCGTTTTTGTTTAGTTACTATAATATAAAGTATACGTCGATCACGTAGCTATAACGTGTGGTAGGTACCTAACTACTAAGTACACGCGGGCTTTCAACTCCATCTTGAACGAACAATTGTACTAAAAAATTAATTGTTGATTTTTGGGTTTAGATGTGTAGTTATTGTCCTCGTAGCTCTGAAAATACATCCAAACCTTTGTAGTATTATGTAAAGAAAAGAAGTCTACAACCTATACACGTCCCACTGCTGGGCACAGGCCTCCCTCATTTGTGAGAGGGTTTTAGGGCAAGGAAGTGTCCGCCGCGCTGCCTCATTGCCTGTTGGCGAATTTCACATGTCTTCGAAATATTTTTTTCTTATTGCTCAGACATGCAGGTTTCTTCACAATGTTTTCCTTTACCGCTGAGCACGTGGTAAATCAGCACTTAAAATTGCAATTAACAATTTCATTGGTGCCGACGGGAATCGAACCGGGGTTACTCGCTTTCTGTTATATTTACAGCGAGCGTTAACCATCTGAGCTACCACGGCTCTAGTATTATGTAAGTTTACATCAAATGCAAGTATTACATTTGACAAATTCCACTATTATGCGAAAGTTGTTCTTGGATGGGATTTTTTTATAGAATAAGGGTGACAAACGAGCACACAGTCCACCTGATGGTAAGTGGATGCTGTGGCCCATAGACGATTAAGAATCAATACGCAGATGCGTTGTCACCCCTGAGTACTAAGATTTAATACCTCGTTTCCAGTAAAAAAGGGGTCTCCGGATTTTCACATCCACCATACGAAACACAGCAGTATTAAGCTGCTATTTTACGCTGGTATTCTGTGAGAGTGTGATCCTTCCCCGGTCGAGCCGACCCATTCGTGCTACAACCATAATATAGCTGCAGTGTGGTTTTACCACGTATAAAAATCATCATCTGTGCTAAAATATCTGACATTTTAATTAAATTGTTCCTTTTTTTTTACAAAAATTACAGCGCATATGATGTATCCAAAAAGCCGTATAAAGTCAACAATGAAATTGAAAAATATAACTTATTATGAATTCAAATAAAAAATTATAAAAGCGAAGCTTGTTACTTACGTTAGAAGTACCTAATAATATTTATTTAAAAAAACAAATCTAATTATACAAATTACGTGCCAATAAGCATCCATTTACACAAACGCAGTAGGAAAGGGGTACCGGGCTTACTATAATCATATTGGCGGGTAGGGCCAGACGTGAGGAACTGTAGGAATATGTCAATACTCGAAGGGTCAACGGCCAGTCACTACAACAGGTAAAGTCCGCCGTGCAATATAGTAACGGGGAATGGAATGGTCAACACGCGGGAATAAATACGTTTAAATTCCTGAGTGACAGTATTTCTAAAGTTTAAAAAATGATACACTCAGAAAAAATTCCAATCCATAGAACCCTTGATCCTTTATTATTTCGACTATCCGTGGAATAACTGCCGTAAAATTAAATATAATGTTCGGATTTCACACCGTCTGCTCGGACACTATAAAGGTTTGCGTTAAAATACTTTTGTTTTATTTTTAGAACTAATACAGAATTCACATTTGAGCGTATTTCGTTTTCTAAGAACCACTTTCTACGAACGTTACTCTTAACCGTTTTAGACCCAAAATCATTTCATGTATATCGTGAAAATGTCAAGAATTTAATAATTGTTTTATATTAAATAATATATATCAATTTGAGAAATTCAAGAGTCTGCGACTATGTAATACACTAATGTCAAATTACAATATTTGCTGTAAAACCACGCAACTTTTTGTAATCACTTGTGCAAATAAAAAGGACTTTCACCTTTCGATATTTCGTGACTACGAAGACGTTTTAACGTTTGCTTATAGATTATGGCAATACGTTGTAAGACTTTTGCGTTACAAATGAATTTTTATCGTGGTTGCTATTTGTTTCGTTTATAACAAAAGACAAAATTGTATACGTTTTTCTTTAATATTTGTACCCCGCGACTTGGTCCGCGGTACGGTAGCATGGTGTAGGTTATAATTTTTTTTTTTGCGCGGGACCGGTAGTCTAGCCAGTGAAAGCCCCCTTAAAGTCGGTCCAGTCGTTTCGGAGATTAGCCGAAAAAAACAGACAAAAATTTGTTTTTTAAAAAAGTGCATTTAGTACAAAGCTGTTATTTTGACACTACAAACAGACACATTTTATTTATTTGTATAGATTAGAAAGATCATTTCACAATTCTTCTGGGGGCTTTAATTATTTTATACATGATGTCTAGGTACCGACATAAGAATGGGAAATTGTTTTATTCCTTTTAATACTTTGAAGACGAGTTTTACTTTTTGTTTAAAATTTATTTTATTCTATTTAAAAGATTATAACTCACGTTATAAGGACGATTTGTTTAAATCGCCACGCTTGGCGATCGCAGATCCAGACGTCACACATCTTTGAAACTGCTTCCTCTTCATCGGTTTGTGATCGTTACGTCTCGTGCAAAGGAGATGGTTACATTGCAATTTATCAAAGGTAATGAGCATTTTTTCATTTCGCATCGTAGAAGTGATAGATTTTCTTTCTTCTCTATCATACACGTCTTCATCACACAGCAAATGTTTCTCCTATGAGTGGTAATTACTTTTACAAACTGCCAGTACTGCTGCAGGGAGATTCCAGGGGATTAGTGGAACAAATCAACTTGATATTCGAATCTAAAGTGAACTCACGACCCCGACGCATATTGCATATATATTTTTCTCTAAATTGTAAATCTTTAATTTTTTTCTCTCGTATTTTTATTTTAGCACAGTAAATAACAATATTGTACTTCCATTGAATACAACTATTTATACGGATTGTATTGCGTTTAATTAACTTAATTTTAATTCTCGACGTTTCAGGTGCGTTACAGCACCCATGGTCACGGAGGGTGGGGTTGGGGGTGGTGGACTGTGGTGTTTGACGTCTCAATGTGTAGTGTTCGCGTAAATATAATAAATGATTATTGTACTTCCGTATTTTCTTCTATCACTCCTAATAAATAAATAAAAAAACATTACATTAGGCCTTCGCCGATTTTAAAAGTCATCGCCACGTTACTATCATAACACTTGGCATTTTTCATTTCTTTAAAAAATTACGTAATACCAAAAGAAATAATGTATAATTATCTCAAATGTGTATATTTAATGAAGTGTAAAGAAAATATTATAGTACATCAAAATGCCGCGTCAGGTCGTGGAGTTCGCATAACAAGTGCAACTGACCCAATAAAGTTTACAATCAATCAGCACTCGGCTACGTTAATGTTTTAGTAGTAACATGATTTATTTGTCACTAATATAACATCAAACATTTTGTAATATACTAACCAAACGTCCAGTCGACTAACAAGTAATCTCCTATCAATATGAACTAGTCATATAAAAATTCTCCACGACACTACTGTTTCATTTGCATATTTATCCCGCGATATACTATAAACTATTTACTTATTTTGACTTTAATCGCGTGATCAAAACCTGAATATCAAGCTGTTACAACAAGATAGCTCAGCTTCGAATCCCAGATTTAGCCAACATTTGTACAGGGTTGTTATTGTACTAGTGTCTTTGACAATGCGTCTTAAACTTCCTTCGATCTTAGCGTTTAGGCCAAGGGTAGGTAAAGTTTTTTGAGCTGTGCGGCCAACCCTTTGTCACTTCAGCTTACATATTCCTTATATTATGTTTGTTACTCTGGTACTCCAAGTAAACCTCTGGTAAACCTTTGAGCTGTACCTACACTTGTGGCAATATATACCACAAGCATATAAATAAATACACAAATAAATATATGCCACAAGTGTACGTGGAACTCGCTTAGATACTTGTGAGTATCCGTAGGTAGTCACCATGATTAAAAATGAGCCACGATGATTATATCATCATCATCATTATATTTAGCAACTTTCACTATCAAAGCGATGTTAGCAAAATATTTAAGTGTCTAAAAGGTGGCCGTATTTTGACCAATATATACACATATTAATTGGTTTCGTTAAAGAATCGGTTTTTCTTGTTCAAAGGTTATCTAAAAGTGAGAAGAAAAAGAAAGAAATGCTATTTTAAATAAAAACCACGGTTACTTAATATTTGAAAGATACACTATGATCTTATGTTAGACACGTGTTCCACAGCCATTTATTTCAAATAATTACTAATACGTGAATAAACAAATTAATTCGATTAAGTATTTGATTAAACAATACCTATGATAATCGCGTGAGAATTTCAATAGCTATGATGCGAGAAAAAAATTGATCACTTGACCCGCGTAAGTGTTAGTGAGGCAATAAAAGAAACAACGACCAATATTAAATTTAACGATTTAATATTGCATCACCGGTGTTTATTGGTCCCGAAGTACAGATTACTGCTAAACATTACGACGAACGCAAGCAGCTCTTGTTAACTTGGACGATATTATCCAGCGTACACATTGCGCCGCCTACTGCCGAATATCGCGTAAAATATGTGACTCTTTTTAATTAAAATTAGATATGAGCATACTGATAAACAAAATTAATAACTCGTATAGAGTTAGATAGAAATATTACTGCCTAAAGTGTTGATGCCTTGGGCAATGGAAAACTCTATTTTGATTTCGATAATCAAAGTGACTAAACTTTCACAAAACAAATCATCATATAGGGCTTAAAAGGACCATATCAAAATACTCTGAATCTTTTCTTAAATCTTTCTAAAATTATGAAACATCACCTGGTCATTTTAATTTTCACAAACTATGAAATATTGGCAGATAAAGATATTTAAACTTAGAAAGGCAGCAGAATATTTAAATTTTGTGGGTCTATATTTTCACTGAATATCGTAAGAAATAAGTCATTAAAATATAACTTCCTGTACAGCTGTCATCATCATTATCATTACAGCCCT